CCCCTCTGGAAGTGTTTGCAATCCCTGGGGCTGGGCCAGATCCGTTGCTTCACACACACGGGGGGGCTGGGTTTGTGGCGGGGGGAGGATCAGGGCTGTTTGCTTTGTTTGAATTCGTTTCCTCCCTCTCTCTCTGCACTTTATTATGAGCAGTTTCACCTGGGTCAGGCTCAAGGGCTGTCCCTGGGGACTGGGAGCTGTGGTCCTGAAGGAGCTGGTCAAGGAAGCCTCTGGGACCTGCAGCTCCTGCAAAGCAGCTCTTGGAGGTGTGATGGGTTGAGCTGAACCACCCTGGCCCTGGCAGAGCTTGTGAGCACCCAGCTGGAGCAGCTGGTGGCTCTATAAAGGGGGTCAGTGCCCACAGCTCATCCCAAATGCATCCCAACACAGGAGACTGTGTCCTGTGCTGGGTTTGTTGGGTTTTTTTTAGTGTAAAAATTGCAGATTTGCCCCCTGCGCCACTGGGACTGTGTCGGGGCCATGGGGACCCCCCCGTGGGCAGCACCCTGCGGGCCTGCCCACAGCCCTGGGGTGCAGACCCTGCACTGATTTGCCTCCCAAATCCTGGTGGCCGGTGCTCGGCACCATTTGCCGGGACAGAGTCCATCCCAGCCCCGTGTCCCGGGAGCCCAACACCCCGGGGGACGGCTGCAACTCTGGGAATTTTTTTTTTTTTTTATTTTTTTTTTTTTTTCTTCTCGAGCAGGAAGCTGAAGCATTTCCTCCTCCAGCCGCAGCTGATGCTTGCAGAGCGGGTTTTGCAATCCCATAGGTTTCTGTTCTCGGGGCGGGGAGGTGCCTCTCACCACCTTGCAGCTCCCCAAGTTTGTTTGCTCGGTTTTTTTTTTTTTTTTTTTTTTGGCATCTGTCAGTGTTTCTCTGCCAGCCCCGACAGGTCCCGGCCACGGGGTGATTTTTTTTTTGGGCAGCGCTGAGGGCTCCATCCATGCTCAGCCCTTCCTGGGGTGCTGCCCCCTCGGTGTTGGTGAGTTAGGAGGCTGGGGGGGGGCTCCCCGCTAAGGGGTATGTCCTGCCCTTGGCTTTTCTCCCGGGAATTGCCAGGGGAGGAGGGATAAAGGCCGGGGTTTTGGCAGCGGGGCTGGCGGAGGCGCTGCTGGAGATGCAGAGCACCCCAAACTACCTCTGGAGCACCGAGGACCTCCTGGGCCAGGGCGCCACGGCCTGTGTCTACAAAGCTCGCAATAAGGTGAGTAGGGGGGGGGACAGTCACCCCAAAGCCACCCTGTCCCCCCCACCCTCTTGCCCCCCCATCACAAGGATGCCCGTGCTCCCCTCCCCAGAGCTCCCGTGGAGAGCAGAGGCTGCCGGCAGCGGCGGGGGCTGCTTTGGGTTTTATTTTCATTTTTCATTTGGCTCTTTGCCCCCCCAGGAACCAGCCCAGATCCACGGGAGGACGGCAGCTTTTTTGGGGGGGGTGGGGGGAGGAAGCTGTTTTCGGGGGAATGCCCAGAGGTTTTGAAAACCCCGTCCTGGTTGATTTGCATATTTCATGCAAACACTTGCCAGGGCTGGAATAGAGCCTCTCCGCCTCGCCGGCCTTTGAAGGCTGCTGTCTCTGCAGGCGTGGGGCAGGAGAGGTTTGGAAACATCCCCGTCCTGCAGAGAGCGGGGGGGGGGAGCTCCCAGCCCCAGCCCCACGCTCCCAGTGGAGCTGAACAAACCCCGTGCGGGGCCACACACGGGCTGTGGGGCAGGAAGCAAAAGGAGGTGAATTAAGAGCCATCTCCTTTTGCAGTGGGGAAAACGTGGGCTCTGGGAGGCCTGTCCAGAACCATGATGTGTTTTTGGTGCAGTTCCCATCCCCAGCGGGATGCGGGAGCACTAACGGAGCTGCTTGGGATGTGGATGGCGTCACCTCCCGTTTCCTTTTTTCTCTTTTTTCCTCTTTTCCCAGAAATCGGGGGAGCTGGTTGCTGTCAAGGTCTTCAATAATGCCAGCTACCTCCGGCCCCAGGAGGTCCAGATGAGAGAGTTTGAGATGCTGAGGAAGTTGAACCATAAAAACATTGTCAAGTTATTTGCCGTGGAGGAGACGGTGAGCGGGACCTTGGCTCAGAAACTGGTCAAATCTGGTCTGTGATGTGGGATGGGAGCGGTGGTCCTGGGCTGTCTTCTCCTCCCTCCGGCTCCACGCCAAGCCTCAGCACGGTCCTTCAGCACTGGGGACACTGGTGGCACTGGGTCACTGAGCTGGAGCTTGACCGTGACCTGCTGATGTCCCCTGGCCAGGCGTGTGGCACAGAGGAGACATTTGGGCAACGTGGCCTGGTGGGAGGTGTCCCTGCCCATGGCAGGGGGTTGGAACTGGATCATCTTTAAGGTCCCTTCCAACCCAGTCTGTGATTCTCCAACCGTGGTTTACCCGAGAAGGAGAAACTCGGGGACCCACCAACCAAAGGAGGGGACCTGGTCCTGCCTGGTGGGGCCACCGGCTGGGACATGGGGCTGGGGGATCCCTGACGGCTGTTTCCCCCGCAGGGCAGCAGCAAGCAGAAGGTGCTGGTGATGGAGTACTGCTCCAGTGGCAGCCTGCTGAACGTGCTGGAGGATCCAGCAAACGCTTTTGGCTTGTCTGAGTCCGAGTTCCTCATCGTGCTGCAGTGTGTGGGTGAGTGTGGGGGTCCCTGTGCCCCCTCCTCCACGAGCAGGAGCTGTGGGCTGGGGACATCACGGTGCTGGTGGGACCCTGCGGGCACCAGCCCTGGGCTGTGGATGGGGGGGCTGGGCTGAGCACTCAGAGATTGCACCCCCGAATGGGGTGGGTTTGTGAGCTCGGGGGAAGCCCTGAGGGTTCAGGGGAAGCCTGAGGGTTTCTCCTTGAAGACCTGCTCCAGGAAGGTCTGTAGGAATGGGCTGTGTCCCACGGTGGGGGAGCATGAGGACGCTGCTCAACCATGTGCTCGCTCATCCTCTCTGTTCCCCAAAGTCACGTTGGTCCCCTAAATGCAACCAGCCCTGGGGCTTGTCCTCTCTCCATCCTTTCTCATACTCCTACGTTTAAACAAAACCCTCTGGAGCAAACTGCCGTCCCCCTTGTGCCCAGTGTCAGGGATGAACCACCTCCGCGAGAACGGCGTTGTCCACAGAGACATCAAACCCGGCAACATCATGCGGCTGATGGGGGAGGACGGGCAGAGCATCTACAAGCTGACGGATTTTGGGGCCGCCCGAGAGCTGGACGATGATGAGAAGTTTGTGTCTGTCTACGGGACGGAGGAATATCTCGTGAGTGCAGCCTGTCATCAGTTTGGTGGCCCTGAGGGAAGCTGGTCCCCATCCCTCCATCCAATGCCTGGGCAACTTGTAGAGACCACCAGTGTCTTGGGGACCCCAAACTCAAAAGGGCCACATTTTTTGAAGAAGGGGAGGGGAGGATGTCTCAGCATTTTTGCCGTAGAGTTACAGGTGATGTTTTGTCTGGAGGTGGTAGAAGAGGCCAAAATTAGTCGTTGGGTTTCAGTCTTTGTACCCATGGCTCGATGGCCACCGTAGACCCTCTGGATGGGTCGGCAGCCCCCGCTCTCCTCTTCCTCCCCCCAGCACCCCGACATGTACGAGCGTGCTGTCCTGCGCAAGCCGCAGCAGAAGGCGTATGGCGTCACCGTCGACCTCTGGAGCATCGGTGTCACCTTCTACCACGCCGCCACCGGCAGCCTCCCCTTCGTCCCCTTCGGGGGACCTCGCAGGAACAAGGAGACCATGTAGGTGCCGTGTCCAGCTGGGAGGGCTTGGGTGCTGCTGTGTAGGGAGGTGGGACTGTGGCTGGTGGCCCTGGGGGGCTGCAGGACATCCTGGCTGGGGCTCAATGCATGCCCAGGACTGTCAGCTGTAGTTTGCAGGTCACTTCATCCCATATCACCTAGAAAGCCCCAAAAGGTAGCCCGTGGCTGGTTCCATACCAGTATGGAGAGCATGTATGTGCAGTGCAGCGAAGGGGCTGTGCCCTATTTACCATGTTTGCCCTCAAAATGCATCCTTGTGGCCAAACAGCTGGAAGAGGAGGCAGGGTTAATGTTTGGATGAAACTTCTTTGACTGTTTCTTGAAGTGTTTTTCCTCTCTGCATTTTTTTTCTGTCTGTGAGTTGTGTCTTTCCCTCCCAATCCGTGCTCAGCCCTTTCCCTCGTTGCTGACCCCAAGGGATGTAGTCCCCAAACAGAGGTCACTTGGCCCGTTTCAGCTGCAAGCGATTTCCTTTCCACAGGTATAAAATCACCACCGAGAAGCCTCCCGGAGCCATCGCGGGGGTCCAGAGGCAGGAGAACGGGACCATCGAGTGGAGCTACGAGCTGCCCCTCACTTGCCGCCTCTCCACGTGAGTGTCCCATCCTGTCTCTGCTCCCGCTGCGGGTCCTGCATCCTGGCACCGTGGCTGGAGAGGGCATCCTGCCCCAGGTGGCTCAGGAAGTTTTAACGAGGCAGATGAGCTTTTCATCTGCAAATGTCCCAGCTCTCGGGCCAGTTCCTTGCTTTACGGCCAGGAAAATGGGGTGCAAGATGGGGCAGGGGCTCAGCCGAGGGGCAGGGGCTGCTCCTCTCCCCAGCCCCACAGGGCTCAGGGTTATGCCAGTCTGGGCAACCATCTCTGCTGCAGGGGGCTGAAGGACCAGCTGATTCCCATTTTGGCTAACATCCTGGAGGCGGATCAGGAGAAATGCTGGGGATTCGACCAGTTTTTTGCAGAAACCAACGACATTTTGCACAGGATTGTGGTCGACGTCTTCTCCCTGCAGCAGGCTTCCTCCCATCGCATCTACATCCACTCCTACAACACGTAAGGATGCCGAGGTCGTGTTGAAGGAGAGTTTGGGAATTGAGCTCGGGAGCTGCAGCTCCTTGTTTCAGCACCTGAACTGAGGTTAAAACAAACCAGGCTCAAACCAGCCTTTCCTGGGGAGGGCACTAACTGTTGTTTCCTGCCAAGGCACACGGAGACCCCCAGGGAGGTTGTCCAAGGGGGGGCACTGATCTTGTGGGATATTTTGTTACGAGAAGAGGGGTCAGGCAATGGAAATCTGAGCGCTCGCCACCTTGCTTATTCCCCATTCTTCCATTTCTTTTTCATTTCAGTACCACCAAGTTTTTAGATGCTGTCTTCAAACAAACTAATATAGTCCCTCACCACCAAGAATATTTTTTTGAAGGTCATCTGTATGAACTGGATCCTAATCTACAAGCTCATAGTTTCTGCACAACCACAGAGCGCAACCCTCTGACCTTGCTGAGCTCTGCTGAGCAACCAGAAGAGGTGGTAGGAGTCAGATACAGAGACCGTGAGTACCTTGGCTTGGAGATGCATCAGGAGAGGCAGGGTGGGTGCCACAAGAGAGATTTTGTACCTTGGCTTGGAGATGCATCAGGAGAGGCAGAGTGGGTGCCAGGAGAGATTTCCCAGTTCAAGAAGGACAGGGAGAGGGGACAGCAGAGGCTACAAAGATGATGAGGAGTCTGGAGCATCTCTCTTATGATGAAAGGCTGAGGGACTTGGGAATTTTTAGTCTGGAGAAGAAAAGGCTGAGGGGGGATCTGATCAATGTCTATAAATACTTAAAGGGTGGGTGTCAGGAGGATGGGGCCAGTCTTTTTTCAGTGGTGCCCAGGGACAGGACAAGAGGAAATGGGCACAAACTTGAATGTAAGAAGTACCACCTCAACGTGAGGAGGAACTTTCCTGTGAGGGTGGCAGAGCCCTGGCAGAGGCTGCCCAGGGAGGTGGTGGAGTCTCCTTCTCTGGAGACATTCAAACCCCACCTGGACATGTTCCTGTGGGACTTGCTCTGGGTGGCCCTGCTCTGGCAGGGGGTTGGAGGAGATGATCTCCAGAGGTCCTTTCCAACCCCATGTCATTCTGTGATTTGCCTAAATTATTATCCTTATAGACCCCCATGCACAGCAGGAGGTGGAGGGGTTATGAGGCTGGAGCAGGATTGGGAGGTTTTCCCCATGGCTGCCCACCAAGCAGCACAGTCCACATTTGGTCCATGTACTCATAGTCCATATTATTAATCCACATATTCCATAGTCCACATATTCGTGCCGTAGTCCACATTTCCCAAATCTCCTGGAGAGCACTATGTGTGTGCAATGTCCCCGTGGATCCCCAAAGCCCCGTGACCGCTGTCTGTCTTTCCAGCGGCACTTGAGTTTCCAAAGTTTGTCCCCAAGGTGGACGTGGTGGCCGACTGCAGCGCAGCCAAGGTAGGAGGGGGTGCTGGCATGGCCCGGGGGGGGACCCCCAGCGTTGGGGAGCACCCCCTGCAGTGCCCTTTGCTTTGCAGAGCGCGGTGGGGGCCGTGCACCAGACGCTGCGCATCGCCCAGGCCCTGCGGCGCTGCCGGGAGCTGCTGGCCAGAGGTCTCCACTGGGTGATGTGAGTGTGGGGGACACCACGGTGTTGGGGGGGACACGACCTGTCTCTTCCCAGCACCCAGAGCTTTGGGGGATAGGAGTTAAACCACTCCTGGGTTTTGCAGCCACCTCCCGAGAGGGTAGGACCACCACGTGTCCTCACAGGGTACTGGGAGGGAGCCCCCCATACAGGGGACACTTTGGGGGATGTGTGTGCCAGGCTGGCAGGGGGCTGGACCTGCTGGAAAATAGCACTTAGTGGTGTGAGGGTGCTCCTGCCCCCACTTCTTACTTTGTGAGTCACTTAGTTCAGGAGATGCTGAGGAAAATAGCATCATCATCATCCTTATTATTATTATTTACTATTATAATTGTGCATTTTCACTGTCCTACCCATTTCCATCGGGGCAGAAGCTCCTTGTGCAGTGGCACGTCAGTGCCCAGTGGGTGAGAAACCCCCCTGCCCTGGAGCTGCCCCCAGTTTTACCTGCATCCACCCCCCCATTTTCCCACAAGGAGCCACAGAGGAGCCACCAGCTCCATCCTGACCCCCCCACCACGCGTGGCCAGCCCCAGGATGGAGGTGAGGCCACCTGAGGGGCACACGTTGGACGGGCTGTTTTCTCTCTTGGCAGTGGGGACCTGAAAACGGAGTGCTCGAGGATTTTGGAGCAGAGGAGAGGGGCTCATTCGGTGCTCACCTGCCTGCAGCAAACTGAGGTGAAGACCCTCGTGCTGTAAGTGTGGCTGGGCCAGGGCAGCTTTGCAGAAGTGGGGATGTGGGCTCTGGGCTGGGCAGGCACCGGTGCTGCCCCGAGGCTGCTGCAGATAAGATACAGGACTCTCAAAAGTGCCCCAATAATCAGGAATAAATACAATTCCAGGAATAAGCTGGTAGCTGGAAGGCAAGAGGCTTTTTCACTCTATGTGGAGACTGTGGGGAGTGAGCCGCCCTGGCTGGTTTTTCCCTCTTTGCTTCAATTTTTTAATGATCAGTCCCTGGTTTCACGGGCATCCAGAATTAGCCCTCACTCCCTGGCTCCTGCTCCGGGGTTTTCAGGCTGTTACAGCCCGTGAGCCACAGAGTAAGTGTGAGGAGAAGGCAGGGCAGCTGCTGCCAGCTGGTGGGAAAGGGAGAAAGAGCTGTTGCTGCCAGCAGAGCTAAAATAACGGGCAGGATGGCATCAGCTGCCACGTCCCCAGGGGTCTGCCCAGCATCCCTCACCCCGCTCCCTGCCAACAGCCCAAGAGCATTGGGCAGTGCCAGGGAGGAGCTGCAGCCCATCCTGCTGCCTTCCCACCACACTGGCATCCCCTCTGAGCATGCCATCCGTGACGAGATGTCTGTTATTGCTGTTGAAGAGGCTCCACTAATGGAGCACTCACTGGAGGGTGAGTTACAGAGCAGCCCTGGGCAGCCCCCACTGTAACCAGTGCCTCCATTCCCACCCGCAGGAAAGCTGAACCCCTTCCATCTAAAGCAACCCACCAGTATCTTTTTTCCTATTTTGTTGTTGTAGTGGAAAATTCTTTGCTGCTGGGCTGCTGTTCTTTTATATCCGTTTCAGTTTAGCAAGTCTCTTAATTTCCATTTCATCCCAGAAGATGGGCACACGTGGTTCCCATTGACTCGGGCAGGATTAGTGTGGGGCTGTAGTGCCAAGAGCTCTAATGCTGCAGCTGGATCTGCTGCTGCCTCCTCCCTCCCTGGCTCAGGAATTCTGCTGACTCCACTCAGCATCACCCGCTCGTGCCAGCTGCGGGGAGGCAGACAACATCCCGACTGGCCTAAAGCCAGGGGATACAAAGCTAACAATTTTGGGGATCAAATTGGACACGACAAGGGCGAGTTTTTACCGGATCAGCACTTTGCCATCTTGTGGCTCCGATCCCGTACCCTGAATGCAGAGTTATTGCCTGAGCAAACCACCTCCTGGCTCCCCCAGGGACCCTGATGCTGCCTCCGCCACGGGATGGATTTTCTTTGCCCTGGTGACTGATGGATTTTCTTTTGCCTCTGGCTTTTATTCTGCTTCAGGAATGTTCATTTTCTGACTTTCCTCAGGTACGAGGCTGTTCCTGCAGGTAGCGGGGTGCCAGCTCTGAAGGATGTGGCCGTGGTGAAGACAAGGCTGCAGAGGGTGAGTGGGGACGGGGAGCATCCACCGGGACGGGGAGCATCCACCGGGATGGGCAGCGTCGGGAGCCACCAGCCCCAACCTCTCCTCCCCATCCTCAGGTCTCCGAGGAGCTCTCTCAGTGCTCCCACAACATCTTCGACCTGCAAGGGGTGCTGGATGGGATTTTATCCGAGCTGGTGAAGCACAGGCAGCAAGTGCATGAAGACAAAAGGTTTGTAGCACCAGCTTTGCCAAAAACCCCTGCCCATGCCGGGCTGTCCTCAGCTGGGCTGAGCAGACATCGCTGCGTGCTCCCAAACAGCCAGGCACGTGTGTGATGTCCCTCGATCCCAACATGGGGAGCAGCAGTGTCCCCGACTTTACAGCGTGTTGGGATTTCGCCCCGAAGGGCTAATTTCACCCCAAAGTGCTAATTTCACCCCAATCATCTCGCACCCTTCCTCTCACGGGGCCTCATGCCTCCCTCCCTGTCCCCATCTCAGCATCCGGCAGATCGAGTGCTGCCTGGAGAAGATGCAGCTGATCTACAAGCAGTTCAAGAAGGCCAGGACGTGTCTGCGTGAGTGACGGGGACGGTGACCCTGGGGACACCCCTGCCCCCTGGAAAAACGCTTTCTTTCACTTTTTGCTGCCTTTAGCAGTTATTTCTGGGCCGTGACAGTAGTCCCGGGGGCTGCAGCCCTGAAAAGCCCCTGGAATGATCTCTGGGTGCTGTGAGATTGCCTGTTTATCAGGTTATTAACACAAAAGCCTGTGGAACACGTTCTGGCAGGTGACCCGTGTCTTTCCTCCCCAGGGCTGGGCTACAACGAGGAGCAAATACACAAACTGGATAAGTAAGTCCCAACCCTCTCCCCGTTCTGGGTCCAGCCCCACGCTGTGTCCAGGGACCTCTGTGGTGTTTCCAGCTGAATCCTCAGGGGATGTAAAATACTCTTGTGTCACTAAAATTGAGAGGGGGCACCTAAAAGTCACTTCTGTGTCAGCTCATGGATGCAGGACCTTTCCCAGCAAACTTTTTCGAGCTATTTGAGTCAAAGATGTGAGAGAACCTCTGCAGACCTGGGGAGAGGGAGCTGCTGTGGGGCCAAATCCCCATGTGGGACTGCAGAGAATAATTCCATTTCAGGCTGTTTCTCCCACCTCCTCAGTCTGTGGCCATTTATTCGCTGAGATGCTGATTTAGGAAGTGTCTGTGCTTTCATATCTCTCTAACTTTCAGGGGGAGTGAAGTGTCTGATGGCTTTTGTACCTTTAAAAATCCTCCTTTCGGTTTCCACTGAAACCAGGGGAATTTAACACGGGCAAGAAATGAAATGCACACTTCAGTATGTTCCAGGGACAGTGAAATTTAACAGGCGGCTCCTTTATCTTAATTAATCTTCGTTCAACCTTGGACGTTTGCCATGAACTCCAAGGCAAGAAGTGCCCTGGGATTGGGGGTGACAGCCCAGCTGTCCCTGTCCCCCTCCAATCCCCAAAACCTCTCTTTCCATCATAATTTGGTTTTGTTTTCTCTCTAACACTGATGCAAAATTCACTACGGAGCATCCAGTCCCCCATTCGGGACCCAGCTTTAGGTTTGCTCCCATGTGAACTGGGGATGTTCATTTTCATACATTCAAGGAAATAAGAGTGTTCTCTCTGTTTTTCTGCTTTTAGGGTGAATTTAGGGCATCTGGCCAGGAAGGTTCTGTTGATTTTCCAGGAGGACTGTGTCCAGCGGTACCAGGAGGCCCTGGCCCTCCACGGCAGCAGGATGAGGTACCAGCCCCTGCCCTGCTCTCTCTGGGGTTTTGGGACCCTGATGGGGATGGGAAGAGGGGACTTTCCAGTAACCCACCACCGACCCGGGCTTTGGAATGCTCCCTGCTATTGATTGGGGATGGGAAGAGGGGACTTTCCAGTAACCCACCACCAACCAGGGCTTCGGAATGCTCCCTGCTATTGACCCAGTGTTGGGATGCAGATGGAGATGCTGTTACTGGTAACTGCTGCTGAGGGACTCCTAAAAGGGTAATAAGACCTTGAAGAAGCAGCTTGGTGTGACTGCTGGAAATCCTGCTGTGAACACTGGTTCTGAGCCCACGCTGTGTATTTCTGCCCTATTATTTTTAAGTTTGTTTTGGTTTTTTTTTTTTAAAAGCCTCCTAAACTTGCAGCTTGACTTCATGCAGCTGGTTCCCTTGCCCTCCTATGGGGAGAGGTTATTTTATCAGGACAAAATTGCTATTGAGACAGAGAGATCTACTTATTAGGAATGATTTTCTGCTAAATGGTGTTTGGGGAATAATGCAAAGAGCGAATTACCCTGCAGTGATTGAGCACAATCCGCTGCCCGTGACAGCAGCAAAGAGCAGGGGTGAGGGGGAGGCAGTTAGGGGAAGAGAATGTTGCAGAAATTGGATTTTTATGGCAAGGTTGCTTTTAGAGAGCAGCATCCATTCCCCTGGGCTGCCAGCGTGGGCAGAAGGAGAATGATTTTCTATAACGCCTTAGAATGAAACCCAGCTTTGACCTGGTCCTTATTTCTGGTGGGGAGTAGCCCCGTGTAGGATTTACTGGGGAGGGTGAGGAAGGTGGATTTTTGGGCTAGAAATTTGTCTCAGGTGCTCAGGAATGCCCTGGGCACAGCACTGGGGAGGGTGAGGAAGGTGGATTTTTGGGCTAGAAATTTGTCTCAGGTGCTCAGGAATGCCCCAGGAGCCGCCCCCTGCCCCTGCCCTGCCTTTTCCTCAGTGCAGCCGGGGGTTTCCAAGCTGCAAACCCTTGTCCAAGGGCAGTTTTCACTTTGGGGACAGAAGCTGTTGCCCACAGTCACCTCCTGGGACCATCAGTCACCTCCCATCCTGGGACAGTGACATCTCCCCTTGGCTTCAGTGGGAATTTTGTCTCAGGGTGAGATTCCTCTCTGGGTGTAGAACCCCCAGATCCGTGCAGGATGGGAGCCCCCACTGCACTAAAGCAGGGCTTTAACCTTTGCTCCCAGGGAGGAAAAAAACTTCTTAGTGTTTTTCTGGTGTATTTTTGTATCTGTTTTTCTATCCTTAGGGAGAAGGCCTTGTGAGTCACAACTGGATATTTTTAATTTATTGTTATTTCAGTTTTAATTGTCCTGTTTTGAGTTTCTTCCTGCAGGCAGCCAGGGTTTGTGGTGTGGTGGCTGTTTTTCTGGGGACTGGAGGTGGATCCTTCACCTTAAATATTCTTTCCTCTTTTTTCTTTTTTTTTTTTTTAAAGCTAAACCAAACCCTTTTTTATGCAACTCACGTTTTTCCTGCCTGATGCCTGGCACCTCTGCCCCAGGGCAGTTTGCCCTGGCAGGAATGGGGCAGTTGGTCCTCCCAAAAATCACAGGAGGATTTACCCCCGAGGCTGGGGGGGGACACACTGCTCACAGCATCATCCCCCGGGGGCAGAGCCCACCCAGTGCTGCCTCTTCTGGGCTTTGGTGTCAGCAGAGCTGCCCACAGAGTCTGACCCCAGGGTGTGTGTGAGGGGAACTTTTCCACCCTTTATACACTTCAAACGTGAAAGGGGAGCAGGGAAAAAGAAATGCAAACCCAAGGATGCTCAGTCCTTCACAGGAGACAGAGCAGCAGCCTGTGCAGCACGTGGGGCAGAAGTGATGGGCTGGAGATGTCTCTCGGATAAGCAAGACCTTCCCTAATTAATTTGCTGTTAGTGTTGTTTGGATAACCTCGCCAACGGTGAGCTGCAGCCGTAATTACAACGCTGTCGTGACTCATTTGCTTTCCTTCAGGATTTTAACGTGGCTCCAGAAAGGTTGGCAGAAAGCAATAGGAAAATAAATAATAATAATAAAAAAAAAAACCAAACAAGAAGATTTAATGATTCACCCTGCTGCCAAACGTTGATTGGAAATTTTGTCATCGTCTTTCTTTCTAGGAAAGTTTGTGAGATAAAGAAGCACCTGAAGAGGCTCAGCAACCACATCAGCGCCTGCAGCGTGGAGACCATGGAGTGCCAGGACTGCCTGCAGAGCGTAGGTGCCCGGGGATACAATCATAGAACCATTTAGGTTGGAAAAGACCTTTGGGATCATCGAGTCCAACCATACAATGCTCCTGCCCCCTCTCCCAGCACCCACCAGAAGCAGGGAACACACTGGAGCCTTTCTAAACAACTTGCTGCCGTTTTTGTGGGCAATCCACACTGGAGATCTTGCTTTCCCCCCACTGAGCAGGGGAAGGAGAGGGTAAACCTTTGGCAGGGGCACCCCTGGTCCCGTCGGCTGCCTGGCACTGGGGGATCTCTCCCCACTAGGCAGGAATTGCTGTAGTAGAAAAGATGATGCTTCACCTCCAGCTCTCCCCGTGCTGACAAGCTGCAGTGCAGCCGCCCAGCAAATGCCCTGGCCCTTGGGTTGTTTTATTTTCTTTGTTCTGAAGAAGTGGATGTGCTGGGTGTGACTGTGTGGGCGTCATTTCCACAAGTGTTTTGTCCCCCTCTTGTCCCGGGGTGGGCACTGATGGGGCTGCAGTCCCTGGGGGTCAGACCACGGCAACCAGCCGGGGGCTGCCAAGTCTCTCCATCTCCACAGGCTCTGGACAGGTTTCTCCAGATGGAGAAACAGAGTTTGGCCCCGGATCCTTCTGCACCTTCACCTGTCCATCCCAGCCAGGCACGCCAGGAGATAGCTTTTCGGTGAGTCTTTTGGAAGAGGGGTTTTGGGGACAGCCTGACCCCCCAGGGAAAAGTGGGACCTCCCGGGGTCCTCTGCACATTGGGGTGAGGGCTCGGTGTCCACAGGGCTGGGACAGTCTGTGCTGAGCCCTTCACCGTGGCCCTGTTGGGTGCCATCCCCACTGGGTGACCCATGGGGTGTCCCTGCCACCTCGGGCAGCCCTTCCGTGGGGAGCAGGAGGCTGAGCAGCAGGGGGGTAAGGGCTGGTTGTGTCCCCGGCAGGATGCAGGAGATCCTGGAGCAGATGAGGTCAGTAACTTGTGATCTCCAGTTCAACAACAGCATCATCGAGCGGTGAGTAAGAGCAGCTGGAGACACCGCTCTGAGCAGTGGGTCCTGCCCTGGGGAGGGGTGGTGGGACCTGGGGGGGCTCCCTGGGGATCTGTGAATGAGCCCCAGTGTTGGGGGTTGTGCCTGATGCCGGGCACAACCACAGCTACTCATGGGCTGGTTCTCATGGGAGGTACTCATAGGAGGTTTAACATCATCATCATCTTCTTCATCATCATCATCATCATCATCATCTGGCAGCAGAAGAGAGTTTCTCTTTCTTGGGAGTTTCTGCATGATCTTCTGCAAATGCTATGTCATGTCTACACCCTCTTCCCAGCCTTTTTCCTGTGCTCCCGTTGCCACCAACAAGCAGATGCTTTCCATTCCTGGAGGAAACGCTCCACAAACCCCAGCACCCCACTGCTGACAAACCCCCCACCGGGTTTCTTCCTCTGCTACCTTTTTTTTGAGGGTCTTAATGCAAATCAACCGTAGGAAGACGCACATCAAAATGTCAAAGTGTTTCAGATCAGATTTTAAAAGGGGGAAAAAAAGGAAAACGGTGATTCAGCCCAGCCCTGTTTTTATAGGACCAACTCTGGTGCAGCGTGTCCACTGTGACTAAGGGGATGAGAAAGGTCTGGGATGCTTTCGATATGAAGAGCCGATCCCAAAAGACACAGGAACAAGCCCAGAGCCTGGAGCCCAGCCCAAGTTGTATTTTGGGGCTGCATGAGCCCAGGTGATCCCTCTAGAGCCTAAAACCTTTGGTTTTGTTCCTGCAGGTTAGGTGGAGCTGCCCCCACTCCTGGTGTTTGAGACGTGGTGAATTTGCAGCTGCTGAAGCCAAACCGCTTTCCTCAGCAGGGAACACTGACAGCACTTTGGGTCCAGAGCCATGGAGACGTTTGATGTTCGTGCTTGAGGAGCTCTCTGTGTCCTACCTCTCCGCTCCAGCACTTTTGCACAGTTGACCAGCATTAGCTTTGAGTGGCTTCAAGCCTTGAGCCTTTGAAAGTTTGACCAGAAAATTGGGGGTATATTTTTTTCCTTTTTAAAAGTGCTTGAAGGACTTAATGTTTTTCTAGCTTCTGTGTATCACCGTGTCGGATGATGAAGAGGAAGAGGCTAGACAGACAAATTATCTTTTGGTGTCTTACTTGTTTAGAGATTGCTCCCACTTTTAACATAATTCTGCTCCCTGAGGCTTCGTGGATGGTGCAGGAGCCCAGGGCAGGAGGGATGTGGTACCTCATGGATGGGAGACTGGATCCGGCCCAGGATGGTCCCAGTGCTCTGCCCAGGAGGTGACAGCACGGGGAAGGCTGGAGCCACAGCCTCTGCCCACGGGTGCTCCAGCCTCTCCTTCTGCTCCAGGGCTTCTCCTCCAGCCCAGCCCCAGGTTTGGGCTGCTGGGGGGTTTGGGAATGGGAAGCTGAGGGAGACTTCTCTTTTTTTGGTGTGTTTCTATAAATGTAACTGAGTCCTGTGTTTATGCCCGTGGGGGTGCATGCCTTCTGCAAACAACCCTGTGCTGAAACTGTGCCTCCAGCCACCCAACCTGGGGGTGTTACTAAATGCCAAGGCAAAATCAGACGAAAGGGGTCCCACGAGCCCTCTCCAGACACCGTTCTGCAAGAGAGAGCAGGGATGTTTCTTTTTCTTTTCTAGGTGAGAGATGAAAAGAAATCCTAAGCAGTCACCTCTACCACTAATGTGCAGGGTGAAAGGATGCATTGATCTGTGGGGTGACAGCAGCCGGGGTGGCAGAGTGGGGATGGGGACAGCAGGGACCCGTGTAGGTCTCTGTGGGACTGGCTGTGAGCACTTGGAGCTGCCCTGGGCAGGAGATGCCCAACACTTCATTCCTGTTACACTCCTGAGAAATAGGATGGAGGGGAAACCTATTACCCCCCACCTCCAGGAAGCTCACAGAGACCTTCAGAAGGATCCTGATGCTCTGCATCGGGGCTGTACCCAGCCCTTTGTTGGGGGTGGTTATTGTGCTCCCATTTTCCTGCTGGTTTTTGACCTTGGGTTTTACGAGGAGCTGTGATCCTCTGGTTATCAGCTGAGTCAGCTGCTCACCAGCAGCGTGTGGAGCAGCGATACGGGGAGCCTGGGGTCTCGGGAGCACAAGCACTCGATGGTATCAAGGAGCTCTTTGTGGGAAGAGTCAGACACGCCGCCCCTCCATCCACCTCTTCCTGCCTGTCCCCAGGGTGACTGATGGGTTGTCACCCAGATCCCACAGCCGAGAGCACCAAAGGTCCCCGGGCTGCAGCCAGAGCCAGGCAGGGTGATAACTCCCCCCCAGCTGGGATTTTACACCTGGGGGGCTCCTGCCAGACCTGATGGCAGAATTACCTCAGCTCTTCTCACCCCTCCCTGGCACACATGAGTGAAAAGACACACAAATCCCTGCCCTGGGCTCCCTGGAGAGCCCCCCTGCCCTGTGAACTCTTACTGGGGTGAGCCCTGGGCTCCCTGGAGAGCCCCCCTGCCCCGTGAACCCTCTTCCTGGGGTGGGGGGCTGCACTAGTGATGCTCACGGGGTGGCAAACGGCCAGTGGGAAGAGCAGGTCCCTTTGCCCCCACAGGCTGCAGAGTGGGGGGCTGCACCGGCAGGAGGCATGAAAATCTGGATTCATCCCTGTCCCCTGCGTAAACCCTCTGGGTTTGCCCAGTTTCTACCTGTGTGCAAACCGTGACTGGCTGCCGGGGTTAAAGCAGGGTGAGGGCAAGGACCAGGGGGTCGGGACTTTGGCAGCAAAGTCCAAGGGTGAGGGACCCCCCCTGCACCTCCTGGGACTGATGGTGGATTTTCACTGAATTTCACTGAATTTTAGAGTTGGAAGGGACCATAGAGATCATCTAGTCCAACTCCCCTGCTGAAGCAGGATTGCCTAGAGCTTGTCAGAGCATGTTACTCAGGAGCATCCAGGCGGGTCTTGAAAATCTCCAAGGAAGGGGACTCCACACCCTCCCTGGGCAGCCTCTTCCAGGGCTCTGTCACCCTCACCGTGAAGAAGTTTCTCCTCATATTTGAGTGGAACCTCTTCTGTTCCAACTTGTGCCCATTGCCCCTCGTCCTCTCACTGGGAACCACTGAAAAGAGTCCGGCTCCATCCTCCTTCAACCCTCCCTTGAGATACTTGTAGGCATTGATAAGGTCTCCCCTCAGCCTTCTCTTCTCCAGACTGGATCTGGCAGGAGAGGCTGAGCCATCATCCGGGCAAGGAAACGTGTCTGCCTCGAGCAGTGGGGATGCTCAGGTGCCTGCCTGGACCCGTCCCGTGGCAGAAAATGGAACACCCAGCTTTGCCCTTCACCTTTCCTCCAGTTCCCTTTCCAAACCTTCTTCTGGAGGTGACAAACATTAGGTAAACCCAAAGCCTTCAGCCAAGTCTGGGCCTGCCCTGGCTGTTCTGGTCCCTGGAATTTTCCCCCAAGGGACTCACATCATTTCAGTGGCCGGAGGCAGAGCGAGGAGAGGACAGGGCAGGGGGAGCAGCCACGGATGCTCCTTGGATTGACCTTGGCAGCAAGTGTTTCTACCCTCTGTGGGGGGACATATGGGGACATAAGGCAAAATAGTGCATCCCTGGAGGCAAAAACATCTTGCCGCAGCGCTGCCCCCAGTCTCAGCAAAGGAGAAAAATGAGCAGGGAGCGGTGGCTCCAGGGCTGTGCCCAGATTTACTTTTCTTGTAAGAACAGGCCAAGAGGCACCCAGGAGCTCCCCCCGCCCAGGAAACCTTCCCGAGTGGAATTTGGCACCAAACCTCCCCATTCGTTATCATTGTAAAAACCACCATCCTGACTGTCAAACCCAACTGCTTACCCTACCTAGAAGAGGTGGAACTAAGCCATCACTTAAAAGCTTTTCTCCCGCAAATTATTTGCTAGGATTCTCCTAGTTTTAATAAGTGAAAGTTGTTTTTAATCCAGCTGGACATCACTGACATCCCCCGTAGGAGCGGGGCAGGGAGCCCGGGCAGTCTCCTTCCCCGGGCTCGGTGGAGCTGTGCTGATTCCTACCAGCTGAGCGTTTGACCTGGAACATGTTTGGCTTCCACAAAGAGGGATTTATTTCTTGGCAAAAAGAAAAAAGAGTTTTTGCTAATAGCCCTTGTCATGCTTAAACTGCCATAACACAGCAGCTGCGAAGGGGGCTCCCGGAATCCAAAGGAAACAGGAATTTTCCTGCCAATGTTAATTAGGTTGAGTTGTGTTTTTTTTTTCCCCCCAAATATTTTAACCCTTGGCCTAAAAATGCTTCAGAAGCTGTCAGAGCTGGATACCTGCAGGGACAGCTGAGGAGGATAACAACTCTGCCACAGCTCTTGTGCGGGTATGAGCCAAAGCTTCCTCCTTTGGCAGAAAATACTACAATTATTTGGGCTAGAAGCTGAGCTCTGCAGCGTCCCCGGCCAGCCCTGGCACACCATGACAGCAAGAAGGGGCCACCACGTGTGACCCGTGGGCAGAGGCTCCTCTGTCATCGGGGAGGACTTTCCCAGGGATGTCAGCCCCCCCAGGGAAGTTGCCCAGAGTCTTTGCAGGCTTTGCAGGCTGCTGTCAGGCTCCGGGCACTGGGGATTTCCTGGGGGACAAGGGAAACCAAAGCCCTCTGGAAACAGTGGGAGATCCCCTCCTGACACTGCGAAACTGAGACTGAAACCGTGGATGGAACTGGAAAAGCAAACGTCCAGAATGATTTTAACAAGTTGCCAGCCATGTAGATCTTTGCCCTCAGAAAGGTCGTTTGCTTTCTTGCAGGTGATTCCTTATACCATTAATGGCCTGGGAGGAACACGGGATAAAATACTAAGTTTTGGGGAAATGATTTCCCTAGGAATAAATCTGCTGCTGTACCCAGGCAGAAGTGGAGAATGCATGAAAGTGAATCAGGATCCTGAATGGGGAAGAAAAAGACCTTCCAAAATTTAATCTTGCTACTTAGCACAGAACAAAACTAGAATATTTCAAGCTGCGTTACTGCTCTTTTGGTTTGAAGCTCTTATTAGTGACTGCTTATGGCACTAGTCTTTTGTAACTCAGAGCCAGTGTTTCAATCCATCCCTCAAATTAAAATCCTTGAAAAGGATTTAGATATCCTTGGCTTATCCTGGCCTCAGGAATTCATGACAGACATCCAATTCAGCTTCCCCTGAGCACAGAAACCAGGATTCCAACAGCCCAGCATCACACTGGCTGCAGCCACCTCTTCCCCTGCCTCCTCTCACTCAAACCAAAGAAATTCAGGAGTGATTGTGTCCGAGTTACGTATTTCAAACCAGTGTGACCGAAAGCAGCAGAGAGGGGATGGTCTGGGTTAGAGGGGTAGACCTCAGCACGGGCAGTGCTGGGCTGGTCATGTCCTGTGTGACTTGGGGTGACCATGTCACCCTCTCTGTGCTGGGCTCCATCCGGATGCAGGGGAAAAAGGGCAGGAGCTCATTTAGTGCCTCTTCAAAGGTGTTATGGTGACAGGAGACCTTGTGAGAGACACCCAGCTCAAAGGAAGAGAGGGTCACTTAGTTATCAGGCTGCTGGGGTGGCAGAGGATCACGCAGCGCCTGGTCCAGCCACCCCCCCTCCTTGTGCATCCCGTCGTTGCCCAGGGGTATCAGGCTGCTGGGGTGGCAGAGGATCACGTAGTGCCTGGTCCAGCCCCCCCCCCCCCAACTTGTCCATCCCTCAGTTGCCCAGAGGAGAGGTTTGCTAGCCAGGCACGGGTCTCCTCGGAGCTGGAGCCTCCAGCTCGGAGCCACTTCAAAAGCCGGCCATCACATTTTCCCTTTCGCGTTTCCCACAACCACAAGAGCCTCATCTGGGAGAGATGATAATTGCCCGGGGAGAGATAATTGCCTGGGCTCACCGCCCCCAGCGCCGCGCCGGAGCCCGGCTGCCGTGTCAGTGGGGAAAGGCAATTTGCTCCAGCTGCCCTAACCCTAACCCTAATCCTAATCCTAACCCTAACCCTAACCCTAATCCTAACCCAACCCTAACCCTAACCCACGCACAGCCCCGCGCCCGGGAGAGAGGGTTTTCACCAGCTCGTTTCAATACATTGACCCACGCGTGACCTGACAGCGCCCGGGGGGGGGGGACGGGGGACAAGCCCCGGTTCTGCTTT